CCATAATTCTAGAAAATCGAACTAGAAATTCGACCCCCGAATTTCAAGAATCTTGGGAATTATTTATAGAAATTCGACTTCAAATTTCCGGAATTCTGGAAAATCGAGATCGAATTTCCAAGTTTCTTGTAAATTCGATTTTCTAGAATCTAGAAAATCCTCAGGGAATTTATATATGGACTTTTTGAAAATCGCCGAGCATTTTCTATAAATAATTCCCGACATTACAGTATAATACATATGGACAACATTTTGATATTCGACATGATACGCCACGTTCCTATGCTGAAGAAGGTGGAAAAGGGGCTCAAGGCCCTCACTTCAACGGCGGGCCGTCAGATTCAAACTGCCTCAGTATTACTAGTATGGAGAACAAGCAGGGGATAAAAATAAAAATAAATAATTCTTCTATTCAGTTCCATAGCTACTTGAGATAAGACGGAAGAAAGGTCGTCCAAAGAAAGTTAAATTAGCTCGAACAACAGACTATATATTAGTGAAAAACTATTGTAATCTACCGCTTTTTTTGTTCTTGAACTATTTTTTCATATTAAATATACTTTTTTAATGACCAAATCATTAATTAATTTTGATGATAATTTTCATAAATTAATTAGCGAGCTCAAAATTTCTGTTCATATTGCATCTACTATTGTAGTTACGAAAGATTGTACTTCCAACTTTGTTTCGAACCAAACACAATATGGGTAAAGTAAGAATGATGATGCCGTCGGCAGGCCGTCAAGAATTTAACGTTTATCAAACTGGTAATACAGCAACAACGCCATCATCAACAGTTGATAATAGTGTAAATCAAACATTAGACGCAGAGAAACTTCAAAAACAGACATTAGAAGCAATAGCCCAAGCGAATACGGATAATAAAAGCAGTAGTGTTCCATCAACAATAAAAGAAGAAACAAAACAATGATCAGTTTTTTCTTCTTTGACTTGATCTATTTTGTACTACGCAACAAATATTAAAAGTTTATTCATCAATAGTTAATTTATTTTATCTTACTAACTAATCATCTGCCAGATTAATCAGCAGTCATTAACGCTGAATCAAACACTTGATTTTCTAACTTTCAGATTTTTCCGAAAAGTCAAGTTTTCTCATAAATTGGCGATATACACATCATCTGATAGAAAAATCTTCGGACTATTCAAATCAGTATTCAGATTGGTTCCAACTTTTAATGAATAGATCCTGTTATAATAAAAATATGATTTTCCAATGTTTCATTACTATTCAAAAACGTGTCAAGATTAAACTTTGATTTTGTTCGAAATTTTCATTTTATGTATTTAACTTGTTTACCACTATTATGCATACGGAATTGTTGCTCGATTCGAACATCCAAGGATTTTAATATTTCGTCTAATACAGCAGAAGATATGTTGTAGGATGAAAATTGTTTAAGATGGTGAATTAATTCAGCTGGTGATATCTGATAATTCTGAAATAAAATTTTGTTCTGTTTCAGTTGTTCAGCTTTTCGAATGTCTTCGTACATTACAATATCAACTGTCACAACACTTTTATCATTTAAACATGTATATTTATTTATTCAGTATTTATCAAAAATAAATATAATTTTTGAGTTTGTATTGAATTGACTTACTTCAGCAATCAACATATTTAACTCATCGTTTGTCACTGTCGGATTGCATTCAATTATTAAATAAATATCTTTTTTCACACAAGTGTTTTCTTAATTGATTTCGTTGATGTTTAATATACTGAAACAGTCGTACAGGAACCGAGAAAGTGGGAGTGCGTGGGGGAGTGTACACCCTGACACAACGCAACTTTCTCGGTTCCTGTACGACTGTTTCAGTATATTAAACATCAACGAAATCAATTAAGAAAACACTTGTGTGAAAAAAGATATTTATTTAATAATTGAATGCAATCCGACAGTGATGAATGATGAATTAAACCTGTTTGTTGTCACGTCATGCAGCCAACGAAGCCGTTTAATAGTTAAATAAATGTTTTGATTTCTGTTATATCTGGTATACGTATAAAAACAACTACAACAAAAACACGATGTAACAAAATTCTTTTTTCGGAAGCAACTAAGTTCGAATAGAAGCTGAATTGGAGATTACGGAATCGATCGCAGAAAAAAGAAAATCAACTGGATACAAGAGAAGATAATGAAGATTTGGTGAGAGAAAAAAATCAAGATGTTATGCTCTTCTCTGACGAACACAGAAAAAAGCGCTGATAGATAATATTATTAAATTTAAACTTTTTTATTTTCCAATAAACCGAGCTGGCTCATTACATGTTGATTGAAATTGAACAGATGTGACAATAATAACAACAACAAGAAAAAAAGAACAAGACGTAAAAAAAGAAAAAGAGAGACAAGAAAGAAATAATCAGAAGTGTTGTAAAGTTGAAAAAGAAGTTATCTTATCAAAAAGTAAACGCTTTTTCTCTTTCTTCAGGAGTCTTCAGGAATCTGCTGGGGAGTATAGTTCTACTTTGGCGGGAAAAGAAAGGTCGGACATCATTGAATCCGGCGAAAACGTCCTCCATCCTCCAAAAATTTTAAAACAGAAAGATATAGGATTTTAATTTTATCTTTTTCGAGAGAGAGCATGTCTTTGTTTTTGAAAAGTAAATGCTCCATTGTTACGTCGGTTATTTGAATTATAGACTGAAACGTTTCTAATAGTTCTGAACGCTGTGCTCTATATTTTGCACAAAAAAAGAAAAAGTGAGATGATGATTCGTTTTTATATCCGCACTCGCAGCACTCAGGGAGCAGTCACTATATGTATTTTAGCCAAATCCTCATTCAATCGTGTGAAACTCAATCGAAAGCGTGAAAAGTCTATTTCCAAAAAACATCCATTGATGAGTTGTTCCATAATTGAATGGTAGATGATATAAAACTATTCCTGAGTACAAGTAGACCACCATGATGAAACGGTAGCAGCCCTCGTGCTTGGCTGCGCAATGGATTACTTACAGGTGTCTGTTGCGGTAATAAATCTCTAAGGGGTACTACATGCCAGTTTGACTCTATAATGGATTTTAAAATTATACCACATATGGATGAAGAGCTATTTGTTGTTGAACAACCATTTCTCGTCCTGGTAGACGAACCAGGTATGGGTAAATCCGTTCTTATTCGTTCCATATTATCCAGAGTCCAAACCGAATCAAATATTACATGGAAGATTTATGTCAATTTAATTCATTATGTGAAACTTGTTGGGAAATGTAACACTACCATTGAGTTTCTAAAAAAATGTTGAAGTTATAAATAGCTCCATTGGAGAAAACGTTCTAGAAAAAAATTCATTGTTATTTAGGTTTATCGCGCTTCAAAGAAAACAAATTATCTAAATGGTTTCATTTGACATTAGAGCGGTTATTGTTAGAAAATAGTGCAACTATCAATGATACAGGTATTGTTACAATCAATATAGAAAATAGGAGGCTGAATAATATGAAATTTTATCATCAAACATTTGCTGAGTATTACTGTGCAGAATGTTTTCTTGCCATACTCAAAGAAAAATTTGGTGACCACAGTGTTTTAAATGACTGTAAACAATTTTTGATCAATGAATTATTTAAAGATCATTTTGAAGTTGTTTATTTATTTATGTATTCGTATATTTATTGTTCTGATGCTGAATATGATCTTGTATTAACGTCTAATTGGGAAATTGTACAACAATCTTGGTTAATTAAACCAGATAGAAAAGATATTATTAGATGGGTTTTGTGTTATGGTGAAACAGCTAAAATATGCGAGAATGAAAATTCTAAACAATGTTTGAAATATTATGTAAATATAATAATGAATTTAATCAAACTATTTTTAAAGATATAGATAATTGTCGATTGATTTGCGGTTTACCACAATGGATTCAAGTTTATATGTATTTAAATAACTATCGTAATTCACAGCTGAGCGAAAAAATGAATAAAAATTTTTGTTTATTGTTTCAAACCGTTTTTCCACTCTTACTTAGATATATAAAGATCTTCCATATCGATACGCATAACTTCATATGTGAAAACTCATTAAAAGAGTTTCATTATGAGGAAAATTATATTTTTAACTATTTAAAAAATTTCACAGAAACTATAATAACATTAATCGAAAAATATTTAGACGAATTGTCGGACAGTTTCCGATTGAATCCAAATTTGGAGTGCTATGCAGTTTTTATATTAATGATTACTCAGTTTAAAATATTTACTTCAAACATAATTGCTATTTCTGAAGAACCTTCCAATAATAGATGGACATGCGAACGTTCGAGCCTAGCAGAACAATATTTTTAGCATTTGAAAGCGTTCGAAGGAAACGTATGATATCAAACATCCAGTATACAGATAGGCGTTACAATCCACGCGAAAGTGCATCTGCCTTCTCGAATTTGATACGCACTATTATGCTTGAAGAATTGATGAACTATTATTTCAGTCATACAAATTATGATTTAATAAATTTCGCTAAAGAATATTTTATTCATTATTTAGCATATTATTTTAAAAATACTGTTAGGCATAGAGGCCAAATTATAATAGAATTCCAGACATTTGAAAATGTGTTAAAATTTTACCAACAAGAAGTATTTAATATTAAATTGAAAAATTATGAATATTTCAATGATTGTATGTCATTATTTGTATCATTAGCTTACGTAACAAGAATGGTATTAATTTCTGATCTAGGTGATGATCATGAGACTAACCATCACTTACGTTTTGTTCATCCAAATAAAGATGAAGTTTTACAAAGTGTACAATTTCGACCTAATAGCAATGAAATAGACTTTTGTTTGAAAATTATTGATCAAGATTATCATAAATCCATACTACTACGTATTTCTGCAATACGTAGTATGAATTTACAGGAAGAAGGATACATTATATTCGGTGCCGTACAATAAAGTTGCTTTAAACCACTGGCATGAAGATTGGGAATATAGTTCGAAAAATGGCTGGTGCCTCGAGAAACTCATCAGTCCAGTATCACCGAATGGGCTTTCATAGCAAACTGGCTGAAAATGAATAGTACAGAACAAAAAAAACTGATTCTGAACAACAGAAAAAAGGAAGTGAAGAAAGAATGACTAAAAAGGAGGATAGAAGCCATATAGATACAAAAGACAGCGGAAGTAGTTCCGTTCTGAAAAATCAGCGATCCGTCAGAATTAGCATTTCTAAAAAAAGATAGGGTATGCGATACGTCTTTTACAAAGATGAATTTCAGTAAACGACTGTCTTTTTGCAAAAGATATCCATAAACTAAACTGGGAGATCGTCCCTTTCATGCATTTGTGAAGTCAGACAACGCTCATGAACTCGATAATACATGAAATTTTCAACATGTCTTACTGAAAAGCAGATTCTCTCAAACAATGAGAATGCACCCAATTTTGAAAATTTCCAAAGTCCTATTATAACTCGGATGAACAAAACGTAAGTAAACACGTTTTTGTTAGTAGATTTTCTAGAAACCCTTTTGGAAAACCTTAGAGTTTTTTAAATTCATTTCGAGATCTTCTATTAACAGGATATAGAATAGCTTGAATACTCTACATTCTGAAGTTTTGAACTTGTTCTGATGTTTTTTGAGTGAATAGTGAATTTTTAAATGAGGTGAAAACAGTCTAAAAACCCTAGTTTTCGTAAAATTGGCTTTTCGGGAGATTTTTAAAATTCTTTCTAAAAACAAATATTGCTACGAGACTCAGCATAGTCGATTATCTATAGTCCATTCGTCTTTAAGGCTACTAAAAGTCACCGGGTGTCAGTCTTATGACTCGTCGGAAATTCGATACAAGGCGCGAATCGCAGAAAATCAAGGTCTCACTTTACTCCTATTTTGAAGAGAACACCCCGAGCTATCAGTCCATGAAAAAAAATCAATACGTTCCTATGTAAATTTCGGAAAACCCAAGCTAGGTTTCCAAAGGTCCTCTGAAAAACCCACTTCGAAAATCTTTCCGAAGTTTGCTTTTTCTTACAGAAACATGTGGTCAGGTGTCTACTTTTCAAAACTGAAAGCCGCAGGTCTCTATCTTTTCTCATAATAATGAGTGGAAAACTTGCTGCCCGCAAATCCGGCTCATAAATTGGTGAATTTTCGTCGATGAATCGTGGGAAGAGATAATCGTTCGACGGAGTAAAATAAAAATCTTCTTTTTCGTTCTCCGACACTAAACCTAATGATAAATGCAAATTCATTTCAATACTATTCGGATATTTATCGACTATCTCATATAACATTTCGAAAAATTTTAACAGTACGTCTGATTCTTGATAGTCAGTAATCTCTTGTGATATGTGATAGTTGCATGAAAAACGATACTACTTTTAAGGCACTCATTTATAACCAATTAATGCTAATAAATACTACTTATCATCATCGTCAATCAAAAAGCCTACAAGGCCATTATTCTCGAGGTACGAATTTTACAAGCTCGAATACAGAAATGCAAAAACAATGCTGAAACTGTTACATTATTAAATTGGAAATCCTGACTAGTTATTATGGTGCACTTGCCGTACTTGTTTCAGCTAAAAATAAATGTTGTCGTTAATAATAATTAGAATTCGAGCGTTAAATGACTTGTTCAAGCCTTTTAAACAATACAAATGTACATGTTGTTGATGTTAACGCTGATGTCATAGATAGGTTCTGTTACAGATAAAACTATACCATATTATTAAAGTTCGAGTAGGGTAGTATAATTTTCTTCATTGAATGAGTTAAAACTTTCACCGTTTGCTGGATAGCTCTACTGATAACATGACAGCAGCGAGCAACACTACTTAGATGATGGACTTTGGTACAGGTCGACTTATACTGCTCACTCATAGATCCAGCTACCTATCGGTAGTTTATTTCGCACACTCCAAATTTCTTTTTCTTTCCGTTCTCTCATGACAGATGCTAACACCATAGAATGTTTGCATCCTACACGTGCGACAGTATTTCGGATAACTAATGAATGGCATGCAATCTCGCATGCTTGAAACGCCAAAGAAATTACATTCAAAACGAACAGCATTTTCGCTGCGTCGTTAGTCAACACATGTAGATAACGTATTGCTACAATTGGAAAATGGATACATATCGATAATACATTCCGTTTCTTCAGCATAGGGTAGGAAACAGAATTATCTGCAGTTCAGTTGTGGCACAGAACATATATTTTTCAAATCCTTTGGGAATTAACTTTTATAAACGCGTCCAGATGTTTCATCCTAGACACATTCAAACGCGTTTCCTTCGCGTACTCAAATGCGTTTAAGAAAAATACACTTACTTTTACAAGATCTTTTCACCCAAATTATTTGATTCGGACTATTGTTACGCTCATAGTGATTAGCAGCAGGTTATTCTCGGAACACCAAATAATGTTTGTTGCAAATAATATTGCACAAAACACAATGATCATATTACAATTTATATTTACAAGAAGAAACTTATTGGTACCTTCTCAATTGTGTTAACAGATATTTGCATATAATCTTCTTATATCGATGTGGCAAACTGTTTCCTTCTTTCTTTACGAAATATTCTCAACAACTAACTAACATCATTTTAATAAGAAATTATCTTTTATCACCGAATAAATGGCGCATATGTGATCAAATAAAATTTGTCCCTCAAATAAAGCAATATTAATTGATGTTTAAAATATACTTGTTTCATCCTCTCCAAGAACTTTATTGAGTGTCAATATGTTACCTCAAGTAGCTCACGTTTTCTCTCTGCAAATGTGAAATTTAGTCATTTTAGTCGGTGTCCTACACTCAATCAGTCATACCCTACAATTGGAGAATAGTGATGGGGTTAGAGTATGGTTTCTGTTATTCTATACAATTACTCCTATAATACATAGTTTGCCTAGATCAACGATATAATAAGTGTTTTCGCTTATAAAAACG